AAGGGAAGGGAAGGGAAGGGAAGGGAAGGGAAGGGAAGGGAAGGGAAGGGAAGGGAAGGGAAGGGAAGGGAAGGGAAGGGGGACGCGGCCGGAGCCCGCACGCCTCTCCCGCACCCACCTTCTCCTGGTTGAAGGAGTCCATCCTCCTCATGGCCGTGTCAAAGGCCGTGACCATCTCCAGGAAGGCGGCGTCCTGCTCGCACAGCGGGTTCGACAGCAGGTCCGAGGAGATCTTCACGGCCGACTTGGACATGGCTGCGGGGCCGGCGGGCGTGCAAAGGAAGCAGAGCGGTCACGGCGGCGCCGGCACGCGGGCGCAGCCCGCACGGACACTCGGGATGGCTCGGCACCGCTTTCCAGGAAGACGTTGCCGGGGGTTGAGGGAAAACAGCGGCAGCACCGCCGATTCATTCACGTAAACAGCCACAGAAACGCTTTATGTAAGTCTGCATCGCTGAGATGCAAGGCTTGTGATGTTGCCAGAAATATCAGGCTAACAAAAGCACTGTTTTCTTAAAAAAAAAAAAAAGTAGCTTTTTTTTTAATACATCTTTTCTCAGTAGACTATTAAGTGTCACTCAGTCTCACTACAGCTCTTCCATAGCGAGGAAAAAAAAACCCAGTCCATTAAAGTCTTCCAAAGAGCTTGACAAAAACGTGGCTCTGAAGAGGGTTTAGTGGTGGTGCCGAGGGCCAGGGGTCCCAACAGGCTCTGCAGCCAGCAGGAACTTCCCTGAGCTTCCTGCCTACGGGAAGCGCCTCCAGAAGCAGGGGAAAAGGCCAGTGGAGGCAGAGCAGAAATTGCCCCCCCAAAAAATAAGAACCCCCCCACTTGCAGCCTGCCCTTGCTGCCTTGCTGCGTGTTTCTGCTTGCTTTGCATCGTGCACCTTTCTTCCAAGCTGCACCCTTGCTGCCCAAGAGGAAAATCAAATCCCTATGAACGGACCACTACAAGACAATGGCTATAGTATAGAATGGGAAAAAATGATTAAAAAAAGCAAGCATCAATGTATAAGGGAACAAAAATGGGGAAAAAAAAGCCACTGGTACAAAAAAAATGTTCTTTCTCGTCAGCACTGTTGCTGGAAGTTATGGCAGCTTAAGATCAGAAAGTCAGATGCTTGAGCCGTGCTAGAGATGAGCTTTGGAAAGACTTCTACTGTACTAACTCAGATAGAGACATTAAACTCATCTGAATAATGGGGCTTAAGATCATAAATCAAGGGGTTAAACATTCTGATTTAAAGGTTACACACAATTATACCGAGAGCTCAGAAGCTAAATGGCTGGGCAGCTCAAGGCAGGAGGAGACGCTCCTAGAGAATAACAAAGCCACCGGATCCATCTATTATCCAAACACTAAGGGCTTAGACATCTAAACCTTTAAACAGACGGGCTCTAAGCCGCATGTGTGACCACATCTGAGGGAGGATTTGCGCCCAAGGGGCCACACTTCAGAAGGGCAGAACTCCTTCAGCCGGAAGAGAGATTCCAAGTTTCCCTTGGCTGCAAGAGGGAGAGGAGAGGCTGGCGTGGGGACGGGCCTCCAGCGGAGGCCGGCACCCGGGACTCCTCGGCTCCGACGCTCCGAGTCTCCGCATTTCCCCCGCGCCGCCCTCCGTGGGCATCCCCATGGGAAGAGCTCTCATCTCAAGCTAAAGAGCACCCTTCTTCTCCTCAAAACGATTTTTTGCTTTGAGAAGAGGGTGGGGAGGCGGGTAGGGACCTCCACGCTGGGAGCTGCTGCTAACGCTCCGTGCCCTTTCCCAGCCGCGCTGCAGCTGGCCCCGGCACAGGGATCGCTCCCGTTCCAGCCCGGCCTCTTTTGGCAGGGAGGACACTCCAACTGCTCCACGTTCGCAGCGGGGGGTTGCAAGCAGAGGGAATAAGCGGTCCCCTCGGCACGGAGGTGCACTGGAAGAAACAGGGTGCTTGGGAGAGCGCAGGACAACGGGGTCTGGTTGGATTTATTCCCCTTTCCTTGGCCGGTCCTTCCTGGGACCACCTCCGAAATCCCCTGCTTGCACTCAGGACTTCATGCCTTGAAACGAGAAACGAGGCTCTGGATCTGGCCAAGGCTCATTTGTGCCTCTGCCATGGAGCGGAACGGAAAAAGAAAGTCCTCCCACAGCTCCTCTGGGACTTGAAATGCTCCATATAAACAACGCCCACTGCAAGGGAGGGGAGGGGAATCCTTAACAAGGAAAAACTTAGCAAGGATCCCAAGGAAGGCCAGTCCCGAGAAAGGGCAGTTTTCCCTTTGGAAAGGTCTCTTCCCGGCAGCGGCGGCTCCGGGGGCTCTTGCAGCAGTGCGGCCGCTGGCACAAGGCTGCACCGGGAATGGCACGGGCGGACGCGCGGGGCTCCGACCCCCTCATTCCCCATCTCCCTCTGGATGCCGTCCTCCAGCCGAGCGCAGGAACGAGCCCCACGGCTCTGCTTGGAGGCCTAATGAGCCCCTAATCACGCTCGTTAGGGGCGCCCATGCAAGGCAGCCCCGGAGCTGTGGCCGGGAAACCAGGCCCCCGGAGCGGGACGCGGAGAGCGAGGTGTGTTCTCCAGGCTTGTCCCAGATTGCTCGTGATCTCGAGCAAGTCACCGCATCTCCTGGCGGCCAAGTTCACAGTCTACGTATCCCGCAGCCACATACCCAAGTCTGCATCTGTGCTTTTCTTCATGTCCTTCTGAAGCTTTTTGGTCTGCTCTTCCAATCTGAAAGGAGGAAGGCGAGCTCTGAGCATTGTAAAGCAACAACCCAGCTGAAACTTAACAATTCATGTAGTTGCTGCTGTGATAAACGCATCCATGGTGCTCGGTGCTGGTTAACCTTTCCGGTTGCTTTTGGATGTTGGTGACCTGTTATGCTAAGAAGTCAGAGATTGACTTAGATCCTCTCACTTAGAGCAAATGCTAACCCCAAATGCTTCCAGATGATAACTCTGAGCACATATGACATAGTCAGAATGGTAAAACCAATATTTGCCCTGAGAAGTGTTGAACTATTGGGTGATCCGCTGCACTCTGTGAATTTTGTGTTCTTAACAGCTGCCATACCCTCCAACCTGGTGCAGACCCCTCCAGGTCACCTTTGAACACCCACCGCAGAAAGGAACCCTGAACAGCTGGAAATACAGAGCAGCAGCATCTGCCAGGAAGGCTGTAACCGGCCAGAGCTTCCCGGGAAGATGGGAGCAGCTGGGAAGGCCGCTAAGGATGCTCTTGTCTCCCTGGGATAGGAACACTTACTGCTGGAGCTTTCCATATTCCCTCTCAAAGTCCCGCTCCACCTGCGGAAAGAAGAGATCAAATCAGCATCCATGTGCCACAGAGCCACACAAGGAGAAGAAAAAGGGAAAGAGGAAGGAAAGAGGAAAGGAAGGAAAAGGAGGAGGAAAGGAAGGGAAGAGGAGGAAGGAAAAGAGCCACGTTCTTGGAGAAGGCTGCAGGAAGCCAAGGGAGCCGTGCAGTGCCTGGCCAAGGGGGAGCAGGCGCTCGCAAGGAGCGCGCCAGCGCCGCAGCTCGTCCCTCTCCCGGCGTTCCCGCAGCGACCGCTTCCTCCTCCCTGCTATGTGGCAGCGGGGCTCCAGGTATTTTAAGGAGCCTTCCCTGCGCGCTGCCTGTTTCCACACACTCCTGAACACTCATCCGCACCTCGCCGACCCAGTCTGCAAATGGATTTCAATTGACGGGCCAGGAGTGAATGCGTGCGCCTTTGTTGTCATGGGATCAAAGCGGGGCTCACTCGTGTTGTCAGGCTCCCGGGCCGTTAAGGAAAGGCTGAGGCGGTACAAGCAGCCAGGACTGGAAGGATCCAAAGGTTTATTCCAAATCTCCGTGCTGCCTTCGGCACTGCAATCCCAGGCTCAGGGCAACAACAGCACGTGAAGCACAAACACTTAATAACAGCCTGTGCTTTTCACTCCAAATCGCTATTAAAAGACCAGCATTTGAAGATGGAGCCCAGCAGCTCAGTTTTCCTGAACCTTCCTTTCCTCAGCGCCGCTCCGGGCTGCCCTTCCCAACCCGTCCCCGCGCAACGAGCCTATGGGTCCCGCCAGCTCCCCACGGGCAGCTGTCCGCACCATCCGCTCCCACCATGCCAGGGATGCGAAAACCAGCCTCTCCGCTGGCCAGAAAGCTCCGCAGAGCCCCAACTCCCTTTCCCGCTGCTAAAAATGGTCGCTGGAGAAGGGAACAGGCAGGACGCGGTGTGGGGGCAGCTCCGCGCCTCGGCACAGATCCGCAGCAGCTGGTGCCGGGGGGTCAGGTAGCCGGCACATAGTCAAAAAGCACCCCATATTTCTGTGGCTGTTCCGGCTGCAAAAATAACCGCGCAGTATTGCCTTCTATTTATACGCCTATGTGTGAATTGTTTGGGTCGCAAAGCGCAGCGGGTCGGGCACAACGCAGAAATATGTCCTTTGAAGGCTGGTGGCATCCTCGCCCTGGCACGGAGCGCTCCAGGGCTCCGCACTCGCTTCCTCGGAGAGCCGGGGCTTTCGGAGCTGAAACGTGGCTACCCCCAGACCTCCCCAGTGCCGAAATGTGGCTACCCCCAGACCTCCCAGTGCCGAAACGTGGCTACCCCCAGACCTCCCAGTGCC